TGACAGTCTGCACAGCACCCTGCCGAGCCTCCAGACTTCCACCGCCTGCTTCCGGAGTGCCGCAATGAGGCAAGTCCTGGATGCGTTTTAAGTCTTTTTTTTTTTTTCCCCACCAACTCAACCTTTTGCATTTGCCAGAGGAGAAATCCCACGCTTGCTGTTTAATTCAGTGTTTAAACAGTTTGGTCATGAACAAAAATGGGTTTGAAGGCCTTGGCAAGCGTCTCGTGTTTATTTGGACAGGTCTACTCAATACAACTTTCTGTAAGGGGAACTAATTAGGCTGCGGGTTAAATGGCAACATTTCCCGTCACCAGCACGTGGAGGGGGTACAGAAGTCACTGGGGTCAGAGGACACCCTGCTCCCAGGAAGAGCTGTCGGGGCTGGGCAGGACCCCCTGGGCATGGAGCCACCTCAGCGGTCCCAGGAACAGTGCTCCGGCTTAGGGGATGGAGCAGTCTTGCAGCCTCGCAGCCTCCCAGGGTGTGATGGGGATCCCCTTGGCACTAAACTAGACCAAAACCAAGCTCCATCTCACCTAAGGCACTCCTAAAAGAGCTACTCAAAAGTGACCCCCAAAACGCAGGGAGCATCAGGAGCCCCATTGTCACCGGCTCCATCTCTCTACAGACAGCTCCTGCTGCCCCGTGCCACTTGCTAACACGGACCTTCACAGAACAGCCATGCCCAAAACCACCATCAGAATTAAGATCTACAGTGGGACACGTTCTAGAGGGCTGTTTTCCTGTGCTCTGCGCGCTGCAGCTGTGAGCGGTACCATCTAAAGAAGATCAAACCGTGCAGCCCCAGCAACAGGCTCTCAGCTCACCAGAAGAGAGGACTGGCACCAGCAGGAGGGGCTGGCGCAGCCCCGACCCTGAGGCAAACCAGGCAGGGACCACCGCGCAAGCCCGCCCCGTGTCGGCACAGCCATTGCAAGGATGTTGTAGAGGCAGCTGTTGGCCACGGAACCACCAGCAGGTGCCAACTCAAACCACCTCCGAAGGTCTAACAAGCGCGCGCAGACGCGAATACAAGTTGATTATTTAGCTGCGCTCTCACCGCTGGTACACTCTTCACAGCTATGTGATACTTTCAGGCTGGATATCATTGTCCTGCTTCCTAGGGACCTACTAGGGCATTCCCCTGGATGTTTTATGTCAAATCAAGCCTAGCAAACTCAGAAATTCCTCTTCTTCCCCAAAGGGATTTCCCTGTTTCTCAGTCCTTACTAAAACCAAAATTACCCTATTTAAAACTTCCATTAAATTGACTTGGGAAATTCTGCTACTTCTGCATTTCCCTGTTTCCAGTTTGCAACCGAATTTTATACACCACAGGCTGTAACCAGTCAACTGTCAGTGAACTGGTGGTGCATCTTTGTGCCTTCCTTTTGAGCAGTGCAAGTTCACAGCCGCCTCCAGTCCCTCCGCAGGCTTCCGCCTCCTCCCTGCCCACGCCGCAGCTCCCGCCTGCTCACTGGGAGCACACGGGCTGGGAGGGGGCTGTGGGGTCTCAGCCCATGGAGATGGAGGCATTTTCTCTCTAGATATGAAGAGTCAAGGTCACATCGCTGCATGGCGACAGGCTGCACATGACATGAGGGAAACTGAGGGCAAGAAGAGCAGTGAAGTCAGTGGAAAAAAGGACAGTAACAAAGTTTTGTGAATTTTGTAGACGCAAAGACGAACAACAGCCCTGAACACCGAACGCTTCGCAGTGACATAACAGCAGCCACTGGGAAGCAACAGGACACTTTCCAGCCCTGCGTACTCCTCTGGCCCTCCCCGCTGCGGCTTAGCGCAGCTTGGCGAGGCTCGGATGCTCACATCCACTTGTAGCTCTTCTGCTGGAGGCAGGAGGCCCCTGATGGAAAACCGCGTGGAAATCCCCCAATGCATCTCATGAGGGGCAGAAAGAGAATTACTGCAAGTGACAAAACCTCACATGCCTGGGATTTCACAGCGCCTTACGAGAACGGGTAAGATCTTCCCCCCAGCCTACAGCAGTTAACTCAGCAGCTGCCGGTGCCCACGATGCAGAGCACGGCAGGCCAGGGCAGCCTTAGCCCTGGCTGTGCCTGCACCCCGCCACCAAGCCGGCCCAGGGACCGCTGCAAATGCCGCGTGTTTGTCCACCCTTCCGTCTGTGCCACTTTCTGCAAGGCTGCCCGTGAGCCCGGCAGGTCCTGCCCGCACGCGGAGCTGCCTCTTGCACACCGGGGTTTGCCACAGGGACCCCTTCGGTGCGCTCGGAGCGTGGAAGCCCCTGGAACTCACCGTCACGGGTAATTGTCTTTCTGAGGTGCTCAGTGACTCGTTGACAGAGCAGTGGATGACTTTGTCCGAAACAATCTGGATCTCGCAGGAGATAAGGCCAATTTTCACTTGGTACTCGTTGCTTTCCAGGCCCAGGCTGTCAGGCTCTTTCTAATGAGAAAAACAGAATCAGGATGTCAGTCTTTAGAGCAGCAGCTGGAATCCCAAAGGATTTTCCTGCTTTACTTTCCATATTCTCTGCTGTTTTTCAGACCCAAGAGGGCTCTCCTCACCAAGGACGTTTTTCCAGCATTCCACAGGAAACCCAGAATCAGGCCATTCCCCATTTTCCTGTTCCGCATTCCTTACTCAGCATGGGGCACCGAACGAGCAAGCCCCTCGTGGAACCCAGGAAAACCTGCTTTTGATCTGCCTTGGCTGCGCACCGCAGATAAGGATCTCAGCGCCCACCTGGGAGGGGGGAAGGATGCACAACAGAGAGGGACAGCCGGGGGATGTGCCTGCAGAGCTCCAGAATGGGGGAGTGCGTTTCTGAAGCACGCTGCAACCAGTGAGGATATCCTGCGGTGAACAATGGCCTTTGAATTACTGTTGCGCATTGTCCACTCAAGTGCTGTACCCCAACTTCCTTGTTAAGTGCGCTGAATTCGGTAGCCAAAGGAGAAGAATGCACGACCTGTTTCTGCAGGAATAAATATCTATTGTCAAGACCTTCTGGAGTACCTGCCTGATTTCAGGCCAGTGCATTGTCGTTCTTTCTCATGCATCCAGTACTTTATTTAGCTTCTTGCTAGCAGCTCTCTGTCGTCTTGCCTCACCGGGCACCCTGGGGTCAGGCTGCATTTTCTGGGGCAGCCCGACGCAGGCGCTGAACTGCCTGCTCCTGCCTGGCCCCTGCCTCTCTGTCCGCACCCTCCCCCTTCTCTCACCCACGTTTTGGGGCAGCCCCTGTGTGGGCACTTAGGGTTGCAGAGCTGCCCGGCAGGGAGCAGGCAACACCCCGGAGAAGCAGAGCTGCAAATGCCACTCTCTTACGTGTATAACCAGAGTTAAGGGCTCGCCAGGATGGTGCTTGATCCACTTCTCCTTCTTGGCAGTGAAGAACTGGGGGTCGGCATAGTACTCCAGGCTGAACTTGCTGATGTGCAAAGCCTCCTCGGGGTACACCTCCTCATCCAGAGCCGGGCGGTCATCTGCGTAGAGGCGACCGTTGAGATAGAAATCGACGGGCGCGGGCTTGCTCCCCACGGTGACGTTGGTGGCCGCTGGAGCGGGGCAGGTGATCACAGTGTCAGTGTGGACCTTACAGCTCTGAAAGCAGGAGAGAGCATGCACATCAAAAAACGACATCCAGAGTGCTCCCCACTAGCCCTGCTCCCCGCCCCATCCGCAGCACGGGCTGGGGCCTCAGCTTCGCACCCCAAACACCTCCAGGCAGCGGCATGAGCTCTGCGCCCAGCTACCAGGTGATACCCAGCAGGGACACCCACCGTCTGCTCTCTGCCGATGCCACGGACCACCATGGACACGTTCTGGACCAGCTCAAAGCCTCTTCCTTCCAGGGTGATGATCCTGCCCCCGCTTCGAGGAGAAGGGAAGAAAGAGGGTGACTGCAGAGGACAGCACAGAGCAGCGAGGTGCCATGGCTGGGTGCCGCCTGCTGTCGCTCTCCCAGGGATGTTTCCCAGCTGCTTGAGCAGAAAACGTAACCTGACAGCCACAGCCTTCCTTCCACTTGCAGCAAGTGCCCACGCTGCTACCAAGATGTCAGGGGAGGAAGGAGGAGCAGGGGCTGCTCTGGTGGAAAGGGGGGACCTCTTCCAGCAGCAGCAGCAAACTGTCCCCCCTTCTCCCACTGCCCAGAGGAGCAGCCTGTCTCTGCATGCCAGGGTGGGCAGTGGGTTGTCCAGGCCACTGGCAGTGTAAGGGGTTAACCTCCAACCCCTCAAAGCCATGGCCAGGAGACATTCCCCGTGTCCCTGCCCCACTGTCTTGGAGAAAGAAGAGACCCTGTGAAGGCTGACAGGGACCCTGCCTCTCCCAGACACTTCTGATTTAGATCAAAATGTGAAAGTTGTTTTGTGTTTTGGATCTGCTGCCTGGGGAATGGGAAACATGGGCCTCTCAACGTGCAGTCAATTAACGACAGTAACGAGGGCCCTGATGCACATGAGACTGGTAGGCAGAGCAAGGGGTGGAGAACCACTACTGCATGTCTGCTCCGGAGAGCAGAAGCTATGCCCTGAGTTTACCTTCCCCTTCCTCCGTGTTACATTTCATCTGTTGGAGTATCTGTCAGGAACAGTCGGGACTTACAAATGCCATTGTCTCAAGACCGCTCCGGACACAGCGACTTTGGGTCCGAGGCCCTGAGAGTCAGGTTGGCTGAAATCTTTTACAACGCTGCAGATACCACCACGTCGTTCCGATCCACGTTTCTAACTAAGAGCCTGTCACATCTGCAGACTAGTTTACAACTTCTGTTTTGTTTTAAGCTTCGCTTCCACAGCTTATTTTAGCAATTGGTAAGGTAGATCAGATCCAGCTACATTTTTACACAATTTATTGACCTCTCATGGTCAACACCCAGCAACGCACCGGAGCAGCCCAGCTACACCAAGCAGCCTGAAGGGAGAGACTGCTGTCACGTTCTCAGTGCTCTGAAATTTGGAAACTGCTGCAAATACGAGGAAGGCAGATGGAGGTGACAGAGAAACACCCCGGTGGTTTCCCTTAGGAACACGGGCAGTGACGTTCTCCCACTGTCTCCGAGTTCAGATACCGCTCTCACCACTCAGCACAGTTCACAAGCCCGCGAGGAGCTGAGGTTGGCTGAGTCACCGCCGTGCCTTGTCATTAACTTTCCCACAGTCGGCATCTTTGGCACGGCGCTTGGGAACGCCGAGACACGGCTCTGCTCCAGGGGGATTGGGCCATCAGAGCCTGCGGCGTGCTCGCGCCCGGGCACGCTGCCTTCGGCGCGGTCCTACAGGCACGGGCACCGCACTCACAGGTTTCTTGGTCAGCCCTGGTCTTTGCAGGCTCCACAGCCAAGGGAGGTGGGATTTCACCACAGTATCCAAAGGAACAGAAGCCTGAGAGCTCACGGAGAGACATAAAATTAAAAGCAACATGCTTTAAAAATGAAATACAGTGACCTCAGGGAAAGCTGAAATCCAAAATGACAAACCTCAGCTTATCCTCCAGCAGTTTTGCTGCCAAGAAAAATCCTCATCTCACAGAGCCCCCCACGCGAACCTCCCTAAAGCACCCACCAGGTGTATGCAGTGCAGTTACCAAGGCTGACCTTCTCCCATGTTTTAAATGCACTGAAATGAGCTACGGACAGTCCTGGTGTGTGACACCTCTTCTACTCCAGTGCTGGGGTACCCCAAAGCACCCTGAGAGCACTCTTTGGTGCCCCTTTCGTACCTGCCTGCAGGCCAAGTGTCACATGCCAGGGCTGAGGAAGCCCCTTTCTCCTGCAGGACCCTCTCCCGCTCCCCCAGAGCCGACTCTCTCCTTTGCAGGCAGATGCAGACACATGCCAGCTCTGAATTGAAGTCCTGATGCTACACCAGCATGGCACGGGGTGCCGCTCCCGTTCCTGCCGTGCTCCAGTGACCCTGGGGCTCCTGACACGGGGTTTGCTCTGCGCCTGGATGCACATCCTGGAGCCCAGGCAGGATGAGCTCGCCTTGCCTGCCACGGGCTATGCCAGCATACTCCGATCAGCTCTGCGCTCTGACGGGGAGCGCTGCTCACTTCTGCATTCAGCAAAAATTAAGAGGCTGATCTCAACAAAGGCCACAAATCCTGGCAGGGGTGGCTGTCTGCTGCGGGAGGGATCTCACCTGATCTGGCTCTTTTTGGGGTTGATGTCTGATATAATCGGGTTCTTCTCATACTTGAAGGTGATGTTGTGGCTGGCACAAGACTTGTTCTCGAACTGGATGCAGACTCGCACGGCTGTAGTGAGCTCTGCCGACGGCATGGTGCAGGTGATGGTGCTGTCGTCGCGGCTGTGCAGGGAAAGGCGGGGTGAGCTGCGGAGCCACGGCAGACCGAGCGGCCAGAGCCAGGCGCCGTGGATCCGAGCACCCCTGCGGCAGCAGGGCAGATGGCACACACAGGCAAGAAGGAGCTTCCGCTCACGTGCCAATCGCCTATTAACTACACTGCCCGCTAACGAGCGATGCTCGGCGTATCCCATCCCGGGCTGCCAGACCGACTTCCCGCACAGCCAAAGGGAAGGGCAGTGCAGGAGGGAGGTGGCCGCAGCCAAGGGGGCTGGTGGAGATGCTCCACGGCTCAGCAGCAGCATGCAGCGGAGCCCCCCAGCAAAACCCCAGCTCTTCCTCATCTCCTGGGGGACAATATCATCCTTCCCAACGCTTCGGCTCCTGTCACCAGCTCAGCACCAGCCCCCAGCCCCAGTCCCACCTGACGTCAGTGCACTGCTTGGATGTATTGACGAGGATGCGGAGCTCGGAGCCGACATCCAGCCTGCTGCCTCTGATGGTCACTCTGGTTCCTCCAGCCTTTGGGCCGCTCAGGGGAGCTATGGATTGCACCACAGGAAGCTAAAAACAAAGGGGAAATCTGTTTTCTAGCCTGGTAAATTCACAGTTGGATACTTCACACTGCACATAGAATTGCTACAGTAAATTTAAGTATCCAGTATTGTGAGGCTCTGAAAGAGCAGCACAGCAAGAGCTTTCGCTGGCAGGGTTTCAGAACAAGGGGAGAGGTACGAGTGCTGAGTGAGATCATATAAAACCTCTGTGACTCTCTGCAGTCCCTGAATTCTGGCAACAAATGAGACATGAGTCCAAACTGGAGCCCAGGATCCCACCAGTCCCTTGAGATTTCCAATGGAGGGTCCAGAGCTGGCGACAAGGTCCATCAACAAAAGGAAATTTCCAATTCATTCCAGCTCCCACCATCTCTGCCCTTCCAGATCCAGTTTCTCCTGAATGCAAAGACAATGCTAAAGCCCTGCTGGATGATGGCCTGGAGATCTGTCAAAACAGCCACCTGGGTCTAGAAAACTGAGTATCAAACTCCTTCTTAAGGAAGCTTCAAATCTGAGTCTCTCGAGGCGACAGGAGCAAAAGGGGAAGTTACTTTGCCTCTCGCCATTTTCAGCAGAAATTAGCATGTATGTTATCTGCATTTGCAGCCCCTGGAAATCTTCCTGAGATTCATGGGCTTACGGCTTTGATAACTAATGCAGCGCTGAACCCTCGTGTCTGCTGCACTGGGCGCCCCGGGAGAGTCTGCTGGGCAACCGCCCTGCCCTGCTTTGAACGGGACACCAAGGGCAGAGCAAATAATTCTTTCAAGACCCTCCCACAAGGCATTCAGCAATTCCCTGCCAAACGCGGCAGTCCTGGCAGCTCCAGACCCGCCGGGTGGCGGAGGCTGGCCGCAAAAACGTGACCCGGGGCCCGCTGCCGCCGCAGAGCAAAGCCGCAGCACAGCAGACTGAAGAACGTGGGCTAAGCTGCTCCGTGCTGCCGGGTGATAACGCCCTTTCCTGTCAATCCTGGCCACACAAACATGCTTATTAATAGCTATCCTTGCCCTTGTCCTACACACAGACTGCTTTATCCCTCTACAGCTATTTCCTCTGTTGTTTCTGATCATTACCCGTTTGCACAGGATTCATTCTGTCAATTTGTGTTTCTCTGAGTGTCTGCAGGCAGCTGCCTCCTGCCCTTGGCCCCTAACCTATGCGTTCGAATGTGCCCTGACAACAACAGCAGAGAGGATTATTGATGCTCCCCAAAGCCCTCCAGCTCTTCCCCTCAGCAAGGGCCAGCGGCTGCTGCTCCCAGTGTGCTGCCAGCACTGATCATCTCCATCGCAGCTTTGGCAAATTCAGCTCATTTGGCAAATTCGGCTCATCCACAGCCTGCTATAAGGTCCTGGAGAAGTCTCTTGATTGCGTTTCTCCCTCCTCTTCAGCAGAATTGAAGCTGAATTCTGTCTCTTCTAGATATATCTAACAGGGACTCTGAATGATGTAGCACACAAACAATACTTGATATTTTACAAAGGACCTTCTTTGGAAGGGCAGTTCTAAAAGTCTTTTAAACTTTTTCGGGTAAATTGCTATCAGTGCTCAAGCTCAGGTCTCACCCAAGACCAGCCCTGCATGGTGCAGTCTACTCTATCTTCACAAAGCGGGGCACTCGCTTGTCTCCTCTCCAAGCTTTGCTGAGGTAGGCAGACACAAGGCAGCTTTCTGCTGTGCCACCGGAGCAGAAACGGCTCCTCTTCCACTCCCAGGACAGCCTTCTCCTTACGCTGCCCAGGAGCTTCCAGCACAGAGCTGTCCCGGACCCGTTCTGAGCTCAGCGGCTGCTCCTCTTGCTCTGTTCAGCGCTGGTGCTCTCACAGGTGTCTCCGGAGAGGGCTTTCCTCGCATGCCGAACGCTGGTGCAGATGCTGCCCAGCCCTTTCCCACTCTTCAGGCTCTTCTCCTTTTGTCAAGCAGACAATCATCCTGGCAGCTGGTGATGTGCCGAGTTGGCACACACGTCCTGACGGCCATGCACCAGAAATCCCAAACCCAAGGGCTGCCACCAGCTCACACCCCCGTGCTACCCTGTTCCACTCCAGACTGCCGGATCTCTAAGGTGTTCTGGATGTGAACGTGAACACCTGAAAACGACAGGAATGGGTCCTGGCGCAACTGTCCTCCCGGGAACCACCACCGAGCTGAGTCTGGCAGTGCCCCAGCCCCGCCGGCCCCCTCTGGCGCTGCCCATCAAAAAAATGGATGGGGCTGTGCCGTGCCCGTGCCTGCTGCACGCCGCACAGACCTCCCTGAGCCAACACCTCATGCGGTCACAGGGTGAGGATCACACCCCAGGACCCTGCCCCGAATTCCTCACGATGGCTCCGATGCCGGTTCCTGGGGCTCAGGTCCCCTCTCATGCCACCAGCCTGCAGCACGGCCTGTTCTCCCCCAGCCCACGCAGCAGCAGCACAAAGGCTCCGAGAAAACAGCCTGCCCTGGGCACTCATCCCGGTGTGCCTGCCCTGGATGCGCGGGATCGCCTGCGGGTAGCATCTCGCCAGAGACAGGTGCTCGTAGGAGAGAGAAACACACGGATTTCTTTCAGGTTTCTAGAGATGAAAGTTATCTGCGTGAGACGGTACAGCGCAAAGCTAGAAAGGGCTTTTCTTTCTGTAACCACACAGGGGTAGCTCAAGTCTAACCCCCCCCACATTATTCTCACGCAAAAACTAAGCCAATCTCTGCAGCAAAAACCAGCAGTTCTGAACCACGCGAACCCGCAGCACGTAACTCACACAGCACAAAGAGACTTTGCAAGTCGGGAAAAAATCTCACAGGCTGTAACGGCGCTTTAGCAGAAGAGGAGGAAGAAAAAGGAGCCCATTTTTACAGCAGGAGGAACAGCGATACAGCCAGGACAAGTGACAAACCGCGGCGGGAGCTGGGATGGGGCGTGAGGCTGTGCCCGATGGCACGCCAGCGGCAGGTCTGCCGGGATTTGCCGGGTCCCGCTCCGGCAGCCAGAGGTGAGCAGACACCTCAGCTGCTCCCCTGGGACCCCGGCGCGCCGGCCCCTCTTCCGGAGCCGGCCAGGGGTGCGGGGCCGCGGGCTCGTGTTGAGGGGTGCAGGAACCACCCAGGAGGCAGCTACTCACCACGTAGGAGTACCGCTCCCTGGACTTCCCTTCCCGGCTCACGTTAACCGTTACCACATCCGAAAATGCCTCCTGAGCCTCCCCGGTCCAGCACAC